ATTACTAAACATTTTGTGTTCATTTTACTTATAATTGTATCACCAATTGTATTTCAGTAATAAATAATAATCACATATCTTTTAAAGGTGTGTGTTTCTACGACCTTGTCTACACAGTTTAGATAATTTTGGAGGTGGGCTTCCGACCCTCTCCCCCACGGCTAACCGTCGCCGACAGGGATACAAAATTCCATGATGAAGACTGAGATATTCCATAAAGATGTCTTTCCTTCCGGGGAATCGAACTCGGGTCTCCTGTGAGCGACAGGGAAGCGTCTCGCCGCTACACTACAGCTGTTACTGTTATGTAATTAGCATAATCTGACAGAGCAAAGCGTTTGATCGAAAGAGGTTATACAGTTCAAGAGCTCGTGGCAGTGATGTCACCCACGTTAACAAATGAGAGCTGTGTGTGACCTCTCTGGGACGCTGAATGTTGAACAAAGGAAGAACAAAGGTGAAAACTTTTTGAGACCCGCGTGGCGCGTCGGGAAGTCTCGATGATCTTTGGAGAAAATCCACAAGCTTCCACTGAAATGTGGATGCACAGTGGTATTTATTTAACATACCCGAGTTTGAGGGAGCATGGTAAGGGCTCAGATTGTCAATGTAAATGTGGGTATGCCGGCCATGCCTGTGAGGGCAAGTACCCCCCCCCCCCTTTTTTTTTTCTCCATGACAGGCACGCATGGCGTCACTGTCGCGAGCTCTGATACATATTTTAATACAACCTCTTTGGCTTGACGTGATTTAGTCCAAACACGGTTAGAATAGAACGCCAAAGAATATTTGTATCTGCACCGAAGGCTCCAGTGGTTGAGTCGTCAGTAAACCCAGACATAAAATGACGTCACACATAAAACGTTGCTGGCACAATGTTAAGGCGGGTCCTTGGACAAGGCACAGAGACAAAAGGGATTAGAACCTATAGCTCAAAGTTGAAAAACCGCGTTACACTGCGGTAGACAGCAATGGTGTGAGTGTAAGATTGTCTTGTGTGATACTGTGCATTATCTTTATGTATTATTGTTCGAAGGTAGATTAAAAAGTAACGTAAAAGGCTTGTGTTCACGTAAGTATCTTCTTAGTCTTCTTTGTCTATTCCGTGGTTGGGGCAACCATGGGGCCACCACTGCATATGAAAACCAGCTCTCACCATTTCTCTTTCTCCTCTGCTTTCCTGAGATTGTCACCCATCGTCTTCCCTGTCCACTCTGCGATGTTGTCCCCCTATCCCCTTCTCTGCCTTCCTTTCTTTCTATTTCCTTGTACGGTTCCTTGTAGGATTGTTTTGGCAAGTCCTGTGTATCTTGTGACATGCCCATACCTATTTAATTTTCGTCTCTTCGCTGTGGTCAGTAGATCTTCATACTGCCCCACTGCATTTGTGATTATGTTACGTACTTCAGCATTTGAAATGTGATCTTTGTATGAGATGTCAGGAAGTCTGCGGTGACATCTCCCATTCTGTTGTCAGTGTCCACGACTCACAGGCCTATAAAAATATTAAGACTACCAGTGAGCGCATTAGTCTGATCTTCGAGTTGAGCGTGATGTTTTTGTCCTTCCAAATAGGCTTCAATTTTGACAGCAGCGCAGCTGTTATTGGCGCGATTCTTGAGGGAATTTCTGGTCTTGAGCCTTCCACTGATATGATTGGTCAAAGGTATTTGAAGCTGTTGAGGGACTCAAGTTTCTCACCACTGACTTTTATGTCTGTGTTGATGCCATTGGTAGTATTGGTCATTAGCTTGGTTTTCTCGGCTCTGATCTCCATGCCGTATGCCGCTGAGGTTGTGTCCAGCCGCTCCACTAGAGTGACGAGCTTCTGTTCTTCTCCCGCTAATTCATCGATGTCATCGGCAAAACGCAAGTTTGTGATTGTCCTGCCTCCAATACTGATTGTTCCATTGTGGTCTTCAAGTGTGTCAGTCATGAATCGTTCAAGGAAGATGATGAAGATAGTGGGAGAGAGCAAACAGACTTGCCTCACCCCGACCGTTGTCCTGAACCAATCCCCCATGCTGCCGTTAAGGTAGACTGCGCAGGCGGCCTTGTCGTATAGTTGTTGTATGACGTTGATCAGGTTGGCGTTGATATTGTATTTCCTCATGGTTGCCCATAAAGCTGCATGCCAGACCCTGTCTAAGGCCTTTTTTACAATCAACGAAGATATAGTATAGGTTTTGCTGGTGTTGGAGGTACCTCTCGCACAGTATCCTGAAGTTGAAGATCTGTTCTGTTGGGCTACGCCCTGCTCTAAAGCCTGCCAGCTCTTCAGCACTGATCTTCTCTGCCTGTGGTTTCAGTCTCTTCAGCACAATCTTCAACGCGTAAGTATACGGTTCTATAATTTGTCGGGTTGACGGGAAGAAAACAGACTGGTTACTTTTGTATCCACGTTTGTATTTTTATATTATTCATACATGGCATGCATGCAAGCCATTACACATAGATGTGGTATAATGATCTATTTTATCCACTTTACGCTCAGTTTGACGGACTTTGATCATCATGCTTCGCCTACTACTTCTTGCCGTGGCTTTGACCTCCGCCACTGGACAGCTAGATTCTCGGACCATCATGCAGTATCTGCAGGACGAAAATATGAACACTCTGACAGCATACCTGACCGCCACTGGCTTGGACAAACTGTTGGCGGACCCAGGTAAAAGGATGAATATTTTGCCGCTGTAATTAAATGAAAATGATTCTAAAATGTTTTACGAAACTATTTTTGTAGAGGTCGATCACTGTTTAATGTTATTCATATCCTGCCCCATAGACTTGAAATAATCATGTACATCGTTTAGGAAGCTGGCCCACTTTGCTTGCCAGATCCTCTCAATGCTTAGTTGGATACCATATCCAAGTAGTCTAGTTTTAGTAAGAGTTTTACAGCACTTGCAACACAATAAGGTCGTATATTATGAGTATCGAACATTGGAGGTGTTACAGGAGAATACAAAACGCTAAAAAGGAGGATGACAGATAAGGACGATAGATCTTCGGTGGGAAAGACGTAGCAAATCACATCGGTGCACCCGTCAACTTTACTTTACTTTTTCATCCTCTGTGGCCATAAGCGTCGAGGGGAGATGCGGTTTTCTGTGGTAGGCCAGTTCCGCAGCTCTGTCAATTGGGATATTATGATTTCTGGGGGTTTGCTTGTCTCCTTCAATCAACCCTTTGCATGGCCTTCCTCTTCCTTTATAGCCTAAGTGCTTGGTGTTTTAGGCTCTTGAGGCTGGCTGGCTAGGTGACATACGTAACAGGTGGCTAAACTATTTTATTCTCTGTCTTTCTATGAAATGCAGGCAGGACTCAGTGTCAATAGCTGCCCTTACTTCTTCATTTCTCTGCCTGCTTGTGATGTTAAGGGTTTTACGTCTCAATCTGAATTATCTATAGCCGTGTAGCTTACAGCAATAGGCTTTTAATTTGTGTTATGTTGTGCTTTTTTTCACCAATCGTATAACGTAGAATTTGGATCGTGATCCACTTTGCCCGGGATGACACATGATTTTTTTTTTTAAATTAATAATCCTATATTATGCTTCTGTGTCAGGTTCAACTGCTGTGACACTTTTCGCGCCCACTGACCAGGCTTGGAACAAACTCCCCAGTAACATTGTGTTTTCTCTGTCAACAAACACCACACTGCTAAAGAAAGTCTTGATGGACCACGTGGTGAATCAGGTCGGTATTGTTGTTGGCGTTATTGTAGTTATCAGTGTTGTTGTTATCATTTACTTCTTGTGCGACTGGAAACAATCAGAACTTTTAAAAAAGTATTGTCTTAGTATGGACAGAGAAGAGAGCCAAGATCGTCAATGTCTGTTTCCAGACCCAGAGCTAGGGAGAGAGTGCCTTATTGTCCTTTAGGGCACCAATGAATGGTCCTATTTCTTCTCTCTGCCTCTGTTGTTTCTGCAGGTCTGTCTTGCTTCTCCAAAGCGTTATCTTGCCGTTTCTTGTGTCATTGCGCTTCTCTTTAACGTAAACAAATGTCCCCTTCCCCTTTTCAAAACCGTTTTACCCTTCTACCCCCGTATACGATGCAATAGATAGGCTTTTCACTGTTGCACGCTCAAGAGATGCGTTCGATTCCCGAGCGGTTGCTCTGAAGTACAAGTTGTCCCTGACAGACAAATTTGAACCAGCTCTTCCCTGAATAATATAATACTGTAGATTGTATCGAATTCGTCGTGGGAAGACCAAACACAACTCACTTACATAAGTGAAACAGAAATGTTGTTGAGAAAGACCACGGCAGTATTATATTGTTTTGTTTTGTTTTTTCAATGCATTTGAAACAAAAATGGATAATGAACCATAACTGTCGATGTCTGTTTCAGGTCTGGCACTCTTTGATGATGATAATGCCGGAGGCACAAAATATTTAAAATTGATTTTACATTTTTGTTCCTCCCCCTCCCCCTCCCTTTCCCACCTCCCCCTAAGGTTGTATTGAGCCAGTATGTTCGCGATCAAGACGCAAAGACCAACCTGAACGGAGGTGCTATGGTGTTCCGAGTCTACCCTAACGGGGTACGTTATGTAGGTTAAGTAAATTATGTCGACATTATTTCCTTTACTCTTGACTCTTTCTATTGCTGCTTCTGGCTCCTTCTTACTGCTGTCTTTCGGCCACACCCCTGATCTTAGGGTAGTTAAGATCGAACACCTAGCCTTCTCAGATAAGATAGAACAATCGCAAGGGTCCGGTGTGCAAGTTGCACTCATTAAAATTAAAGATCCCTTGACGGTCCAAAAATGGGCAAAATTCAAAATTAATTCCTACCCAATTAGAGAATACTCTAGTCCCTATAACGCGCGCTCATATGACCTTAGCAGTTGCGAGCGCCGTAAAACCTTATACTACTACTACTAGTCCCTATAAAAACATGCAGAGTACCGTCGAAATCGGAATGTGGCTACCTAGAGGAAAGGAGCCCTACTAATTAAAAAAAAACAACAGGTAAATCAGTCGCACTGCAGGTTGAAGAACCAGCAGTCTTAGATCTAGCAGGGAACGCAAAGAAGAAGGAGGAGATCAAGACAAAGCAAAACTCTGTGTGTTTGTGTGTGTGTGTGAGAGAGAGAGAGAGAGAGAGA